TTCCAAGTAACATATTTCCTGTGGATTTGGGTAACGCTTCTTCTTCAATTTTCTGACTACCAATATCAAGTTTTCTTATAGAGCCAGTAAAATAGATAATTTTTTTTTTTGTATGTGCAGTATGAATATGGTGTTAAATCTTGTTTCCACAACGACTTTGGACTTACAATTGCAAAAATTGGTTTAGGGTGAGTGCTACTCGACATTGAACTATTTTCAGCCTCGGGATAATTTATCACTTGGGATTTAATCGGACATTTTTTTATTTCTTTGTGATATGACAGGGTGGCAGTCCTATTCTTATGCAGCTACATTACGCTACCGCTGTATGCTCTAATTGCTCAGGTACCATTAGAGCTTTATATTTATTCGTCTGTGTTGTACATTACACTAACCCCATTTACTACATTTGTGTGTAAATTTCTTCTTCTTAACGGTACAAGTATTTAGTTAATCATGGTTAATTTACCCAACCAAACGTGGCCTGGAAGTAGTATTGATTTAGGGGCCAACTAGTCATTTTTAACTTATATCGATAGACGATCACAATGGAAATGGTTCTTTTTGAGCTGGAAGTATCTTTGATTGCAGTAAACATGTTTTTGTTTTATGATTAAAAAATAGAATTAAAGCTCTTGTGAATTTTAATTTTGTGAATGGGAAAAAATACAGATGGGTTCGAATATGAAGAAATCAATATTTGACGAACAAACGTCAAAGGCACTAAAGAAGTGGCACATGGCTGTGAAGAAGAAGAAGCACGGAGGAAAGTCACCGACACGAGTTCTGGGTGGTAATGCAAGTCCGACATCTTCTTCAATGGCGGGTTCTCCTTTCCACCCGGCATCTGCGACAACGAATGCAACACTTCACCGCTTTAAAACAACGGGTCACTCTTCACGCTCACATGACGAACACGATGGATCCGATATCGAAGATCCATCGACACCTACACCACCCACTGCCAGCTTAATTTTAAGAGCCAGTAACGATGATGATTTAGCAGCACACGGCGGACAAGAAATTAGAAACGAAGATGACTTCTCCTTTGTTAAGCCCGGCCCGAACAACAAGTGAGGGCGAAGCTCTCATCACTCAAAATTAAACCGTTTCTACTA